TCCTCTGACATCGTCACACCCTGAGTGTGCATTTGTGTCTTCTGCAGGCGCTGTTAGATCTTATAGACAAAAGGATTTTGTCCTGCTGTGATCCAAGAGAACTTCTCTCCGAGAAGAACTTAGATTCTCCTGTTAACACTTAAAAGGAGTGTGGCGTTAGGTATGCTTTTGTATGTACTGCTGCCTAAGCCTAAGAGTATAATCCAGAGAGTTTCGACTAGCTTCCAGAACCTGAACAGGAATTGTTTAGCTGTCGGACCGGCCACACTCTGCTCAGGTTCCTGGAACACTCCTGGGAGCAGAACAACGCAGAGACTTCTGCAGTAGGCAGGGCAGCTGCAATAGAAAGAGCATGACTTTTGGATTCAAATGCTGGTTCTGGGTTCAGATGCTGGTCCTGCCACTCATTCGCTCTGGGACCCTCAATAATTACAGGAATCTTTTGTGTCTCAGTTCTTTTATCTGCAAAATGGGAATGTTAATACTGACATTTTTCTTTTATTCAGTCAACCAACATATTTCTTAGTTCTTCTGCATATCAGACTGTCCTCCAGGAGCTTACAATCTGATGGGCCTGGCAGACACATGTGTTAGTGTTGAGAATATTAAATAAGAATGTATCTAAACTGAAGCTAGGTGGTGGTCATGGACACACGACACGTGAATGAATGTGCTTAATGCCACCAAACTGTGTGCTTAAAAATGGTTAAGGTGATAAATTTTGTGTTGTATGTATTTTACCATAATTAAATAAAGGAAAATGAAAAAGAACAAAGTAAAATGAAAAAATGTTCCCAGCGTGATGCCTGGCACACAGTAGGTACTCAGTAAACGTTTCCCTACGTTCTCCTTTTCCATGGATGGGCAGTGGCCAAGCTGTAATTGCAAGTTACCCACATTTTACCCCACTGAGAGGGCCTTCTTTGGGCAGCATTTTCTGCTTAGATGAATAGACTGGAGGAACCTGAGCCTTAATTCTCTGTCGTAAAGGTACTGACCCATGAGGTTTGGTCTGTGAACACATGCGTAGACCACATTTTGTTCTTTGTTCGCTAGTCTTTATGTAAAGCGTATCTTCGTTATGGAGAGTGAAATAGAATTCTAGAAGCTGCATCTAGGTATCCATCAGGCTGATGTCTGAGGAACGGGAAGCTTGAGGCAAGTAGTCAGGATATGCCTTGCAGAAGGCTTGGCTATCTTCCTTCATCTGTGGGCCAAGTGGCATGTTGTATACAAGATAGAAAAGGCCACTTCTTCCCGTTTACTGACCTAGTTGTGCGCTTGCATCCAAGAGAAAAAGACTCTATCTGGTCTTCCTTGTCACTGCTCGCTCCCTAACTCAGTAGACAGAGGGCTGAGAAAACTACGGCTCCAGGACCACAGGAAGGCACGGAGAAGCTCTGTGGTGTGAACTGAGAAGACAGTTGCTGGAGCCACTCTGAGCACCATGGACTGGGCAGCGGCTACCTCAGGGACATGCTCAGCCCCAAGTCTGTCCTGAGCTTTGTCTCCCTCAGTCCCACGAAGACATTACTTAGCTTTCGTGTCACCCTTACGTGTAGGCATATGAATGAAGTCTCTGGTTGTGAGTTGAAATAAGGTACTTCTTTTGCTTTAAATATAACTCAGTGATGGTGCGTGTATTAAGGCGATGCTGTAGGATGCTGTAGGCAAGCAGAAAAGTTCATCAATGTCGTGATAAGAAAAAAGAACGAGCAAAGACATAGGGTTGTGTTTCCAGACCTTTTAATAACTAGTACTTTAATGCTTTAATCATCTCTGGATTAAGGAGCTGTATCCAGGAGCATCTTAGGGAAAGGTGGAGATAGAATGTGTTCAGACCTCAATTCTGCTCGCTAAAACTTGAACCTCTTAATACCTCAACTTTATTATCTACAAAAAGGGAACAACCATCTCTGTCTCACAGGATTGTTCCAAGGATAAGTAAGCAATGTGTGTAAAGAGCTTAGCACAGTGCCTGGCACATAGTAAGCACTCAATAAATGATCATTTTAAAAGTGAAGATCACAAATAAGCTTCAAGAGTCATGATGGGCTAAGCTGGTTTAGAGAGGGAGGGGAGACGACTCTAGGAGCCGAGAAATATTTTCTTCAATTTGCCTCTGTTCCTGCTGCTCTCTCTGTCTTCCTGTCATCTCTGAATTTACAGATTACATTTATCCATCAAGATCCCAGATCAAATACCACCTCCGCCATGAAGCCTTCCTGATTCCCTCAGCCAGAAGTGATAACATCCTTTACATTTGCCCTTTTTGTGGCATTTCTCTGTGTGTAATCTTACAGTACTTGTGTAACTACGTCATCTGCCTTAGAATGTCGCTTCCTGGAAAAGCAGGACCTTATCTTTCCACTTGAAGTATCTCCTTAGGCCCAGCACCGAGTGTTGCCTGTAGACTCTGATTGGGTGAAAGAAAGGCCCCCGAGACAGAAGCTTTGGTAGGTAGGAGCCGAGAAAGGATTAGGTTCTCCTAAACAGATTTCCAATTGTTCTCTTTTCTTTTTGGGGGGCAAGGAGGGAGAACAAAACTGTAGGCGTGAATTTATTACACTGCAAAGGATAGTTCTCATAAAAAACAATTGATCCCACCGAAACCTTGCCCTGAGAGCTGGTTACCTGGGCTTCATTGCCAGTTATTGTCAAATGTAGCGTTCAAAATGGAAGAACACTACTTGTTTTTTTCCTCTCCTTTTGTTTTTCTTTTTTTGGGGAGGTATGGGGGAGAAGGGGCAAAGAGTAAAAGAAGAACCTGTCTTGTCTTTTTTTTCTTTTTAGCTCAGGTAGGAGTTATGGACAACTCCCAAGGACCTGTGCAAATGAATATGATTAACTTTGCTACTCCAGAAAAAAATTTTAATCCCAAAGTCATTTATTTTGGCTTTAGCATAGACTAGCATTTGTGTCAGATTTTCCTGCCTAATTACTTTTTGCTTAAGCTTATTTTAAAATTGTTTTAAATTCCTTTAGTGTGACAGCCTAGGAAAGTGGGGGTGGATTCTGGGCCCCAGATGCGATCTGAACTAGAACTCCAGCTTTCCTGCCTAAAACCCTCCTGATACGCTGCTAGGAGGAGAGTAAAATTGGAATCAGCTTTCTGGAGAACAATTTGGCAAAATATTTTTAAAAGTCTTAAAAATATGCTTACTCTTTGATCCAGTAATTCCACTTCTAGGAATTGGTCCTAAGGAAATAATCAAACAAGCATGCAGAAATGAGGGACCGGGCATCCTCTACAGCATTTATACCAGCAAAGAAAAAAGTAAAACCAACTTAAAACATTGAATAATATGGAATTGATTAAATAAAGTATGCTCCTATTTCTAATGTGTGTAGTCATGCTGTCAAATTATAAACTTTAAAAATTGTTTACCACGCCCTTCTACGTGAAAAGGAGACTATAGTGTAGTATGTATAGTTTGTACAGATAGAGAGGTAGGTGGATGGATGGATGGGTGGATGGACGGATGGATGGACGGACGGACGGGTGCCTATCTGGAAAGACACATGCTGCAGTGTTAACTTTGGCATTGCTGAGTGATGAAATTATGGCTGATTTTGTACTTTTTTGTGTTTTCCACGTTTCCTGCTTGAACACGGATTGCTTTGTAATTAGAAAAACCAAACGTGTATATTTTAAAAGAACAGGGGCCGGCCCCATGGCTGAGTGGTTAAGTTCGCACACTCCACTTCACTGGCCCAGGGTTTTACCAGTTCGGATACTGGGCGCGGACATGGCAACGCTCATCAGGCCATGCCGAGGTGGCGTCCCACACGCCACTACTAGGAGGACCCACAACTAGAAATATACAACTATGTACCAGGAGCTTTGGGGAGAAGAAGGAAAAATGAAATCTTGGGAAAAAAAGAAGATATGTTTAATGTATCAATGAAAAAGTAAAACGTTGCTGTGTAATACACAGTGGGTAATCTGAATGTGCAGAATTTAGATTGAGTGTGTTTTCTTAAGCATCGCATCCATACACGTGAGTTATCAGCTCTCACATTGAGCACATAAAGTCAGACGTACCGCAGTTTAAATTATGTTCCCCAAGTAAAAGAACCACATTCAGCAAAAGTCTCTGAAGGCGCAGGTGGAGTATAGTGCGCTGTCCTGTGTCAGGATCCCAGCTCTAGGAGGCAGATGCTTCTAGAGCTCGGAGTACCACAGTTTGGCAAAGCTACAAAGACTAGTAGGTTTTCTGTGAATTATATGTAAAAAATGTTTATTGCCAAAATAACATTAGAACACTCCTGGGAACATTTTAAATCATTCTTCCTCTTCTGAAAGCAATTCCCAATTACGTGTTTTACTGTTTTCCTCTTCTTATCTCCTCATTATCATCAACTCCGATCTCCAAATCTGCAGTCTCAGTGGGAAAGAGAGTGGAAGTGTAAGGCAAATGATGGACAAACCGTAAACCTTTGACGACCCCGAAAGAGCCCTTGGCTCACATTTTAAAAGCCCTGCTTTCTATGATCAGCTGCGGGGAACCTTTGTTCTTCCGTGTTGGCAGGCCTCGGCTCTGTGCACGTGATGGGGTTCTCTTTTATTTGCAGTTCCTAAATTCCTAAGACACCGTGGGGCTTCACTGAAGGAAAAACCTTGCAGCTCTGGCTCGCTGTCGTCTGAGGTCAGACGGAAAAGCCTTTTGTGATTAACTCGGCCACAGTGTGTCCTTTGGTGTCTGGAACTTCAGGAGGCGTTTTATTAGTTCTCCCCATTTTGAATGCTGACTCAACTAAGCTTCATAGAATGGATAAATCCAGCTCTTTTGACGCCAAATGGAATCCCAGTTCTACCACGAGCTGTGACCTTGAGCACGTTCACTTGATGTGTCGGATCTCGGCATCCTGGCTCAGGAACGTAGCGCCTTCCCACCTCACCTCGGAAGGCTGCTCTCGTCGGCCAGGAAGCCCTGGCCAGTGAAGGACAGTCAGGGGTCTTTATAAACACACCTCCTTCTCTTCTTTTTCTGACACAGTTTCCTTATGCTGCCCCACCTCCCCAAGAACCAGTGAAGACTCTGAGAAGCCTGATCAACATTCGAAAGGACACGCTAAGACTCGTCAAGTAAGTCCCTGGCTGGGCCGGGCTGGGCAGGTGCAGGTGCCCTCCTTCGTGCAGGGCAGCCACCTCCCCGGAGACCCTGGCAGACTAGTTCCTGCCGGACCGAGCCCGAGACTCCGGCCACCAGAACGGGAGCTGCTCTGGCCCAGCCGGCAGCACCTCTCCGCAGAGAGGAGGTCTCTCCGCATCTCCACTGGTCAGAGCTGTGCTAGTCTGTGTGAAGAACTTTGACTTTCTGGCAAGCTGTTGTTATTATCCCTATTTTATGAGTTTTTTTTTTAAAAGAAGAATTATTGAGGGAAAAAGTGAATTTTGCAGATACCTCAACAAGCCTATGTAAAACTGGGATATCTGAACTTGGAATATGAAGTCCTTATTTTATTGCTTATATTTATATTTTTAATTTATTCTTAACCTCATATGCCGTTCCTCTGAGGAGCTCAGAGTGTCCTGGGTTTGTTGTTCCATCGTTGTCATCAATATTAATTATCACCGACATTTGCCTTGTTTGTGTTGTCCCCGAGACAGTGTGCTTTGTGAACCGGTGCTGCCCTCCAGGAGGCGTGTCTGTCTGCTAAGGCTCACTGGTTCCCTGGGGAGACAGATTTGGTCAGGGCAAATGAGGGGTCCCCAGTTCTTCTGGATGAACAAGCTGGATGACTCAGAGACCATTTTATGCTTGTATAGATCAGCCTTACTAACATTAGGAAGTTTATTTCTCTCTGATCATTTTTTTAGTACAACACCTTTATTGAGATATAATTCACATACAATTCACACATTTAAAGTGTACACTTCAGTGCTTTTTAGTTATTCAGAGTTGTTCAATATCACTGCTACCAAATTTTAGGACATTTTCATCACCCCTAAAAGAAACCCCACACTCATTAGACATTACTCCCCATTTCCCCCAAAACCCTCTTCCTGGCCTAAGCAGCCGCTTATCTATTTTCTGTCTCTCTCAATTTTTTTATATTTTATTTGTCCCTGAAATTTTCAACCGCTTCCCCAGCTACTCCCCACCCCTGGGGTCAACTCCGGGGACAAGGGAGCCAGAAAGGGCACCCGTTTGCTGCGGCACAGTCTGCAGCTGGGCGTTCACCCTCTGTGGAGGATTTCTACAGACTGAGGCAAATGTGGCCTCGGGAGCCTGCCAGCTGTCAGCTCCTCTGTCCGTCTGTTTCTCTCATCACATACGACCTGCTCACGTGTTTGATGGAGTCGGGTTCTAGGGCCTGAGCCATTGTGAGATCCTGGCCCCTGCGGCAGCCTGGCTGCAGCTCTAGGCTAAGTGAAGCAGCCGTGATGTGCTGAGAGAAGCCGGCTCGGAAGCAGAAGACCAGTGAGCTTCCCAGCGCCACGGATGCTCTGTGAATAAGTCTCTGAGCTTCAGGCTTCTCATCTGTAAAATGGCGATAATAAACCTTGCCTTTCATGGCTGTTGTTAAAATTAATGAGATAATGCAAGGGAAAACACCTGGTGTTCAATAAATGTTAAGGTGAAAGGTGTTTTTGTTTTGTTTTTCTGAGATTATGGGAATAGAGTAAATTTTGATTCTCACATTTTCAAGTAAAAATGGAGATGGAACTATTTTTGCTTCTTCTCAAAACCCATCTAAATAATAATAAGAGTATTTTTACAAAGCATAAATCCACAAGAATAGGGAGAATGAGCAACAGCAACAAAATCTTAGAGGCTGGAAACAGATGGTGAATGTTAAATAACTGAGTAAACCCAAAAGATCAGAATCCTGAGTGAGCAGAAGGAAAAGCTGAGAATCAGCCCATTTATGCTGTGTATCCCCAACGGGCCCAGGCACTGGCAGTGCAGGTACCTCCGGACATTGGGGCGGAAGGCAAAACTGAGGAGAGGTGATGGGAAGTCTGCCTATGAGGCAGTCAGCTCTCCTCCCTCATACTACACAGCCAGAACCGCCCTTCCCACACCCGGCAGACGGCCGGCGGGTGATTCTGCCTGGAAACGTTCAGGGCTTTCAGAGCCTCTCTGGATTTGGGGGGCCCAAGCACAGCTAAGGGCTGGACTCAGTACTGAACCAGGGGGTTCAGTGAATTTAGGCACACGGGATTCTGAGTCCTCCAGCCTGCCCCTGTGCTGCTCCCAGAATGCTGGCAGCCAGGCCTTGGTCAGAAGAGAGGAAAACTACTCTCTGGGGAATCAGACCCACCCAGATGGGAAGACCAAAGAGACTGGCATTGGAGGTTCCTCAACAGACCCAGAGGGGCCCCAGGGAAGCCTAGGGTCCCCAAGCCCCGCTCTGCACCCAGAGTTCCATCAGGGTCGTATATTTCTTAAATATGAGCAGACAACCAAAGATTTTTGAGGAACGCCTATAATATGAAAGACAGTGTGCAAAACAAACAACAGGAAAAAAATAACTAAGTGGAAATAAAAACTATGCAGGAAGAGGAAAACTTGATTTGTAGCCTCAGAGACATAGAGAAGATATTGTCTTCTTATTTCATGACGCAATGACACGGAGAGTTCAGGGAACAAAAAACGCTCTTAGAAATTAAAAACATGGTAGCGGAAATGAAAAAAAATCCGTAGAATGTAGGAAGAAAAGTTGAAATACTCTAGAAAGTGGTGCAAAAGGCAGAGTTATGGAAAATAGAAGAGGAAAGATGTGACGAATAGAGCACCAGTTTGGAGGGTCCAACACCCAACTAATGGTTCTAGAAAGAGAGAACAGATTCTAGAAGGAAGGAAATCATCAATGACATACATAATGTCGGAGTCTCTAAACTGAAAGGACCACCGAGTGCCCAGCACAGTGGATGATAAAGAGGAGAGTCTGCAGCAAAGGAAAAGAGCATCAGCGATGGGAATAGCTTCTTACTTCTTGAGAAAGGCCCTGGAAGCTGAAAGATAATGCAGCAAGGCTTTGGAGTGGCTGTTTAAAAGTATTTACAGCCTCGAATTCTTTACTCAGCCAGGCTGTCAGTGAAGTGTGAGTGTGGGATAAAATCTCTGGAGAAGTTTATCCCTTCAACACACCCATTTTCAGGGAGCTGGGGAAGTCGCTCCACTACAATGAGAGTGTAACCCGAGAAAGAGGAAGCCGGGAGAGGCAGGAAGCATGCTGTTCTCCAGGAGAGGCCAAAGGGACTGATCAGGGTGACAGTAGAGGGAGATGCCAGGGGGGCGGCTGTGGGCAGGTACAGAGGGCCCAGGGCTCAGGTGGAGCAGGTCAGAGGCTCCAGAAGGCACCTCCGCAGGAAGATGAAATAAATAGGACACCTGGTGCATCTGAACGTCGAGAGATTTATTCAGCCAGCAGAGGGCTTGGGTTTGAATTCGTGGTTAGTACATAGAAAACTAAGTAAGTGAAATAAACAAAATGAGCACAGACTATAAGAAAAAACTTTGCAGGAAAAGAAAAATAATCACAGATTACTGTGCGGCTAAGCTGTGAATAATGCTGATATAATCACAGTAATATAGACGCTCATGTGCTGAACTATCAAAGTCATATAATAAGAGACTCAGGGGGCGGGGGAGCACCTGTATGGGGCAGAGTGAAGAGAGAGAAAGGAATGCGTATTTCCAAAGTAAGAAGTCCATAGATAATGCCTAAAACTGAAAAACCAGGAAGTAGTGACCTGAGCATGTTATTTTGACACACATAGGTAAACGCCAGAATGACAGAGAAACAGGTAAAGGCGGTCTCCTCTGCAGAGGTGGACAGGGAAGGAGCGGGGCTGCTGATTTTTGTGACAAGCTGATTTGAACTATGGGGTTAGCAACTGTGATTAAAATTAAAACTACCCCAAAAAAGTCTGGCAAATGCATGAGGATGTTGAGTGTAGCACTGTGACATATCAGAAATAACCCACATGCCCAGCCATTGTGGTAATGAAGGTCTCTGCCATCATTCAGAATGATGTGGGCCTACGGGGATGGTCATGGAGGGAATTCCACAATATATTAAAAAAAGATAAATTTTAAAATATTGATTTGCTCCCCCCAAAATGCTGAGTTGTCGTGGTTTGCTAGATGCGCTGAGGAAGTGAAGGCCCCTGGAGAGGAGGCCAGCAGAGCCAAAGTCCACTACAACGTGGAGTTCACCTTTGACACTGACGCTCGTGTGGCCATCACCATCTATTATCAGGCCACTGAAGAGTTCCAGAATGGTATTGCCAGGTAAGAGCAAGAGACTAGGTGGGCCGCTCCCTTCCCAGACAGGTTAGGGTTCATGCCTTACATGCTCACCTGGAGGAAAGCATTCTTTTTCTACAACCCGGTGGGATCTGGTTCCTGAATCTGGGTCTTCTGCAGAGCCCGACTTTTTCACCTTTTCCCTTCAAATTGTGCTATCTTTGTACAGCGGCAGATGGCAGCGTAGCCCTTCAGGTCCTCAATATGCTGTTAGAAATCCATTAAGCTACCTTTCTGTGGATGTGCCGGTTGACTAGATAAGCTTAATGACATTCCCAAGCTCGTCTGGGCTAGATACTGACCTTTGCTTTGCTGCCCGCTTTGATCAATAGCTACATCCCCAAAGACAACAGCCTACAGTCGGAGACGGTGCACTACAAGCGAGGCGTGTGCCAGCAGTTCTGCCTGCCCTCCCACACCGTGGACCCCTCCGAGTGGGCGGAGGAGGAGGTGAGCTGCCTCTGGTGGAGGCGACAGGTTGCTGGGACGAAATGCAGGGCAGCTCCCTCATGTAGACCCAGAAGGGCCTGGGAGCTACTTAGGACCCCGGGCAGCAGAGGGACCGCCCAGGCGCTCGAAGGTCACGCTCACCTTCAGTTTTGTAACTGATCCACCTAACCTCACTCATTTTTCTATTCCAAAGTAGCCCATTAGCCTAGGATATTTTGAGAAAGTCACGTTCAGAGAAAAGAACCTGCAGGTTAGAGGGCTTTACATCTGTGAGACTTTTAAAAAAGAAACTGGTGGTCCTCGATTAAACAGACTTAGGTGGTTACGAGGTTGATGAAGGAGCGTCAGAGATGAGGTTAATCCTTCCTGACATTTCCTTTGCTGATGAGAGTGCTGGGTCCTCTTCTTCTCCTTCTCTTTTCTTTCGCTTCAGCTTGGCTTCGATCTGGACAGAGAAGTTTATCCGTTAGTGGTCCACGCTGTGGTGGATGAAGGAGACGGTATGGCGCTTTCCGTCTTCTCTTGCTGCACACACTGCCCTTTTGTGGCACATGGGCCTGGGAACAACATGCCTCTTCTGTGGGTATCAGGCAGACAGTTTCTGCATCCCCTGCACTCATGTTCCCAAGCTCCTCGGGTCCCATAATGGGCCCTTCTCGTGACAGCCAGAACTATGGTTTGCTAGATCTCGGGGACTTGGGGACGGTCGGTGGGTTGAGGTGTATTGATTGGCTTTCTTCCTCGTCTTCCATGTGCCTTTATTTCTTTCAGAGTATTTTGGCCATTGCCATGTACTGCTGGGCACTTTTGAAAAGGTAAGTGAGCGACTTAAGAGGGCCTCACGTTTTTATGATGTTTAACTCTTTCTTTCATGTGAGGACACATGGCATCCCTGTTTGCTGGCTGTCTGAGCCCAGCAGAAGGGTCTGGCTGGGAAGGAGCACCCACGGGGGCTGCACTGGGCTCTAATTCCAGCTATGCCACCACTGTGCTGCATGGCCTTCAAGCCTTAGACCTCATTTCTTCTTCTTAAAATGGAAGGGTTGGGCTAGGTTCTTGGAAGACCCCTCCAGTGTTAGGAGTCTGTAAGCCCACACGGTGGGTGTCCAAAAACACACATAATTGAGAGAAGTAACAAAAGAACATCTGGGGCCGGCCCTGTGGCCTAGTGGTTAAGTTTGTGCACTCCACTTCTGCAGCCTGAGTTTGGTTCTCGGGCACAGACCTACACCACTCATTGGCAGCCATGCTGTGGTGAGACCCACATACAAAATAGAGGAAGATTTGCACAGATGTTAGCTCAGGGCAAATCTTCCTCAGCAAAAAAAAAAAAAATTTGGTGCCTTATTGCCTTCCTGCCTTGTCATAACTGTCATGTTTTCATTCCAGCACACAGATGGAACTTTCTGTGTCAAGCCCCTCAAACAGAAACAAGTCGTAAGTATTTGAGAGCCAAGGACTGTTGGCGTCCCCCCTTCTTTCTTTCTTACTTTCGCTCTCTCTTTTTTTGTTGTTGTGGGTTTTTTTAATTCTTTTGCTAAGCACTCTTCTTTCCCTCCCACCCCCTTGTTTTTAATCAAAGAAGAAAAGAAAAGAAGGGCGTGCTTTTGTGTGTTAGAAACTACTTGGGTGGCCTAAAGGAGTACTGATTTTTGGTGTCTTTTTTGTTCGAGAATTGTTGGTGTTGAGGCAGCCATTATCTGAGCAAAGGACTTGAGAAATGAAAGGACAAGATTTGTCTCCTGACATTAAGTTTAAGGAGAACTCTTTTTATTTAAAATGGCAGGGTGAGAAACATTTCAAGCTAAAGGATAAAGTATTGGGGTCTAATTCAGGGCCAGTTAGAGCCTTGGCTGAATTTATCCCACCATTGCTTTCCTAAAATTCAGTTTGCTGGCCATCTGCCCCCTTCCAGAACGATCAGCAAGGTATGCACACGTCTGCTGGAAGTCCTGACACCTGCGGTGTGCCAGCACTTTCTTTCCCCTCTTGCAGAGGCAGGAGGAGAGGCATGGAGGGTGGGGAGAGGAGAGCAGTGCCAGTGGCATTGGCAGCCCCCTGCAGATGGGTGGTAGATGGCTGAAATTCTACATTATTCATACTTTTGGGTTAAGTGCTCCCCCGATTAATGAGGTCAATTGTAGCCAATAATATCTTAGTATAAATTTGTTGATAATGTCCTTTCCAATATAACCGCTAGGTTAAAATAAGCTGTAAGAGAGGCAGAGGAGGAAAGAGACCCTGTTCCCCGGGTACTGCCGGGCAAGGCCGGGCCTCAGTGAGTGGCCTCATGGGGAGGCCTAGCTCTCCAGGACGCCTGGATAGGATGGAAAGGCTCGGGCAGCTCAAGGAGAAAGGTGTCTCTATTTTCCTGTTGCTAGATTGGCATTAGCAACAGACTGTGTCAAACTTGAGAGTGGCAAATGCAGTCAGTGACAGGCCAGGTCTTAGGGAGGGGTCACTGGGGCAGCGGAGAGGAGTGGGCTCGCCCAAAGACACGAGGGGAGCCAGCTCTGGCACCGGCGCAGCCCAGGCGAGTGGGAGTGCAGCTGAGCACTGAAGCTGGGGTTTAAGAAACGGGGGCCACGGGAGTAACTGTGTGTGCTGGAGGCTGGGGCGGGGCCCCGTCGGCCCCTCCTTCAAGGTCTTGCTTCTACATTTTTCCCTTCCTCTCTTTTCCTTGCCCATTTCTTCTCCTCTCTCTTCCTTTCTTTCTCTCTCCCAGGCTTATGTTTATGATGTCTGAACTTAACCTTCGTTACACAGCTCATGCTTATATTTTGATGTGTGCTCTTCCATCCTCTTTCTAGTCCGTGCGTTTCTTACCTGTCCATAAGAGTGAGCAAGGATTATTGCTGTGTTTGTGGACTTTTATGTTCCCTGCTGGGTATAATGGTGGGTGAATTAAACATTTGGTTTTCTTTCCCCTCTCAAAGAGAAAACAGAAGTAAATAAAGCATCCTTTACTCATCTCGGCTTTTGCTTTTTTTCATTGTGCCTCAGTCGTCCCTGGTTACCAGAGAGGCTGGGGGGGAGTTCCAGAGTCAGGCTGCCCTTGAACTTGTCTGTTTGCTCTTCAGGTAGATGGGGTCAGCTACCTCCTTCAGGAGATCTATGGAATTGAAAACAAGTACAACACACAAGATTCAAAGGCAAGTTCTGCCCCAAATTCTGGATGTCCTCTTCACAGGAGGCAGAGTGAGGACGTCTCTGATAAAGCCAGGATCTGGGAATTCAGCGTGCCAAACTCTGGAGTCAGTTGGGTCCTAGAAGGGTGTTTTCTTGTTCCTCCTTTCAGAGGATTATACTTATATCACTTTGGAAATGAAAAAACTTGGTGGGTTTCGACTCATTCTTCACAGAGCCCCGTTCACTTGGTTCCCTGGCAGGGTGCTTCCCTTGCCCTCTCCCTTCCCTGCGCGGTCTCCCGGGCCCCTTCAGCTCAGACTGTCCCAGGGGACCGGGGCTGAGCTCATAGGGTGAGCTGGAGACAAACAGCTCCCAGAATAGGTGAAACTGAGTGTGTGGATGTCCTTGGTAAACTATAAAGTCCAATGAAAATGTCAGATTTGTTCTTGTTACTTGTCTCAGCTCTTGGGCAAGCTGCCTTGTACAGAAGTAGGAGACATGAAGGTCTTTGTGTCATTGGCTGAATTTCTGTCTCCCTGGCCAGGTGGCTGAGGATGAAGTGAGCGATAACAGTGCCGAGTGTGTGGTGTGCCTGTCGGATGTCCGGGACACCTTGATCCTGCCGTGTCGCCACCTCTGCCTGTGTAACACCTGTGCGGACACCCTGCGCTACCAGGCCAACAACTGCCCCATCTGCCGCCTGCGTGAGCCCGGGAGCCGCCGGCTGGGACCACAAACCGAGGAGCGCGCGGAGGAGGGGGCGCGGCTGCCCTCTGGGCTGCCCTCCTGACTCCTGCCACAGGACGTCCTGATCGCCTCTTTTCTTCCCCACAGCCTTCCGGGCACTGCTGCAGATCCGAGCCATGAGGAAAAAACTGGGCCCCTTGTCCCCAACCAGCTTTAACCCCATCATCTCCTCCCAGACGTCTGACTCGGAGGAGCATTCGGTAAGTGGGGCTGGGAACCGCTGCCGCCCGTGAAGGACGCGCACCAGAGCCTCCTTGCTGGCTCTTCACCTTTCACCTTTCTTTACACGACTTTGCAGCAAGTAATCAAACCTTGGCGCCCTGAAGTATTTAGTCAGCCGCCCGAGAGTATGCTGGGTTAAAACCAGCGGAAAATTGGAAACAGACCATTACAACCTCCCTTTTCTGCCTGGGGACCTTGGTGTCCGGTTCCCGCTGACCATCCCTAGAGCAGAGCTCCCGTGGGACCCGCTCTGAACTCCCCCAAGCAGAAACCAGGGGACGGTTGTTTTGGATTTGAATACAATTTACTATCTTTACCTGAATCCCTGAAGAAGGTAACTGTTTCTCTTTATTCCGTTTCATGGCTTCACTGCCCAGGAGCCGAGTAGATGAGGTCATTCACCCGGGTTTCGTAGTGTGAGTGTCAAGCCTTGAAGCTTTGCAGTTATAGACAAGCAGATACTGACTTTCTCCGCACTGACACACGAGTGGGAGAGATTTATTCCTCCGTAAATGGTCCTGGGATAATTAGTTAGCTATTTAGGGAGGAAAAATCAGTTTAGCATTTTACTCCTTACCGGGTAACAAATAAATTCCAGATGGAGTAACTAGTTAACTCTATTAAAAACCAAGCAAACTAAACAAAACATGAAAAGCCTAGAGTTCATTATAGATAATTCTGTAGTCAGCTTTGCATGGGAGAGGACTCTCTAAGTTTCAAAGCAATGGAATGCCGTAAAAAAACAGAATGTGTAGATTTTACCACATAAAAAATTTAAAACTTCAGATGTGTGAAAGATGACCAAAATTAAAAGGCAAACAACAAATTGTTTAAAGAAAAAAAATGTATTCACAACATTTATATCAGAGGAAAGGCTAATATTTTTGCCATAGCTCATATGAATAAAACAGTAAATAAATGGGCAAAGGATATTTAAAAAAAATTCTCAGAAAAGGAAACATAGCTAGTTAACAATCATTTTTTAAAAAGTCAACCACAGGGGCTGGCCCTGTGGCCGAGTTGTTAAGATTCCACGTGCTCCACTCTGGGGGCCAGGTTTACAGGTTCAGATCCCAGGTGTGGACCTGCTCCACTCGTCAGCCATGCTGTGGAGGCACCCCACATACAAAGTAGAGGAAGACTGGCACAGGTGTTAGCTCAGGGCTAATCTTCCTCAAGCCAAAAAAAAAAAAAGGAGGATTGGCAACAGATGTTAGCTCAGGGCAATTCTTCGTCACCAAAAAAATTAAAAAGAAATAAAAAGTCAACCACATTAGAAATCAACAGGATGCAAATTAAAATGAGATACCATTTTTCACCTTTCAGATTTAAAAACTTTCTCTTAAAGATACTCTGTGCTGGCAGGGAAGCAATTAAAATAGGTATTCTGGGAGCCGGCCCATTGCTATAGTGGTTAAGTTCACATGCTCCACTTCAGCAACCCAGGGTTCACAGGTTCGGATCCCAGGTGTGGACCTACACACTGCTCATCAAGCCATGCTGTGGCGGCATCTCACATACAAAATAGAGGAAGACTGGCACGGATGTTAGCTCAGCAACAGTCTTCCTCAAGGAAAAAGAGGAAGATTGGCAACAGATGTTAGCTCAGGGCCAATCTTCCTCACCAAAAAAAAAGAAAAGAAAGAAAAGAAAAGATAGATATTCTGTACTGCTTATAGGAGTAGATCACTAGAAAGATCATTGAAACAAAACAAAACAAAACAAAACAGCTGGATATATCAAGAGCCTTAAAAACATTTATACCCAGTAATCTAAGGTCTTAGAATTTAATACCAAGAAAAAAAGAGATTTATGCAGAAGGATGTTCATCACAGTGTTGTTTACAGTGGAAAACGTTGGGTGCCACGAAAATACCCAGCACCAGTGGAGCAGTTAGGAAACTTATAGTATCTCTGAAAAGGGGATGGATGTGAAATAAACAGGATATAAAGTTGTTATTTACAGATTGATCATAACTGTGTAAACAGTACAAGGGGAAAAGTTGGAAAAAATACACCAGAATGCAAACAAAAGTTATTACTTTGGGTGATTTGATTATTGATGATTTTTCTCCTTCTTTCTTTTCTGTATTTTCCAAAGTTCCTATAATGAACATATATTTCTATTATAATCAGAAAAAAAATTGACATTATTAAGAAGCTCATCTATAAGCAGAATCCTAGGAATGTGTGGTTCTTTGACATTTTATCTTTCTTCTGCCTCTAGTACAGAAGCTTTTCTTGCCAGACCCCAGACCGGATGTAAAAGGAACACTTTCTCCAATGTAGGGTGGGAAACACTATCGTGCCATAAACCAAGAGCATTTAATTGATTTTTCAACCTGTCTCTGACCCCCCAGTCCTCAGAGAACATTCCTCCAGGCTATGAAGTGGTGTCTCTTCTGGAGGCCCTCAACGGGCCCCTCACCCCGTCCCCCGCGATCCCTCCACTCCACGTGCTTGGAGATGGCCACCTCTCAGGAATCCTGCCTTCCTATGGCAGCGACGGCCACCTGCCCCCTGTCCGGACGCTCTCCCCGCTCGACCGCCTGTCTGACTGCAGCAGCCAAGGACTCAAGCTCAAAAAGAGTCTCTCCAAGTGAGCAGCTGGGGTCCTTGATGAGATGCTCTCATCCGTCTTTCACCTCTGCTGTGCTGGCCCTTGTCCTGCGTCCCCAGGGCAGTGTCGCCCTCTGGGCTCTTCCCAGAGCTTTGCCTTTCACTGAAGACCTGGGGCTAACACCTGGGGGAAAGGTTGTCGCATCCCTTAGGAGATGCGGTAAGATGGCTTATGAGTGCTGAGGAGGATCAAGATAGATCTCTTGTGTGTTCTGTTTTTGTGGGAAGGGGACGGGGGCGGGGAAGGGGTACAGGGAAGAGGACATCGTTAGGGTCATTCAGGCCCCTGGGGAGCGTCGCTTAGTCTGAAGACTGAAGGAACCGTGTGCTCTGTGTCTCTTACACATTTAAATCCAGCGAGGCACAAGTCACAATAAGCTTTCTGTGGCAGAGTAAAAGGAGGGTAGTTTATCGATGAAAATACTGAAACCCTAAAGATGTCAGTGGTTTTTCCCAAGCTCAAACACAAGTTATGGAAGGAGCTAAAGGTAAACTCGGATTTTTTGACGCCTAGAAGAGGTCTCAGCCCCTCCCTGGCGCCCTCTGTCACCTCCCTGCTCCTTCCCCTCGGGGCTTCCTTCCCCTCACCGGCCTCCCTGTGAAGTCTGCTTAATGAGAGGCAGGCAGGGTCCAGTCTACCTGGATATCGGCCACAGCTGCTTTTCCCTCTGGCCTTTTCCAGATCCGTCTCCCAGAATTCTTCTGTGTTGCATGAAGAGGAAGATGAGCTTTCTTGCAGTGAATCTGAGACGCAGCTCTCCCAGAGGCCCTCAGCTCAGCAGCTGGGAGAGGTAATTTGCATTCTCCGCCCTTTCTCGGCTGTGTGACCTCAGGTGCTTTCCTCCCCTGCCCATGCCTCTTCAGGTCCACCTGCCTCCAGTCATTCATCAAACACCTTTTGAACACTCTCTGAGACAGCAGCGAAGGTGTCATTAGAGCCATTCTCTCAACAGTGTCCTGAGTCTGTGCTGTTTGCGGGCACCATTCCCTGTGCTGAGGAGAGAGCAGTGAGGACTCTAGGGGTCCCGCCCTCCTAGCGCTCGTGTTCTTGAGATTGGGGTGGGAGTGGACACCAAGGACAATAAGTAAGAAAGGCACATGTCTGATGGGACTGTCAGATAAGGGAGAAAGGAGTGTCGAGGCTGGAGGTGGGGGCTGCTACCTTCACAAAGTGGTCCACTGGGGGCTGGCCCTGTAGCCTAGAGGTTAAGTTCGGTGCACTCTGCTTTGGTGACCCAGGTTTGGTTCCTGGGCGCAGACCTAGACCGCTTGTCAGTGGCCATGCTGTGGCAGCGACCCACATACAAAATAGAGGAAGACTGGCACAGATGTTAGCTCAGGGAAAATCTTCCTCAGCAAAAAAAAAAAGTGTTCTATGAACAGAGACTGAAGGAGTTGAGGGAGCAAGCTATGCAGACATCTGAGAAGAGAGGGTTCCAGGCATAGGAAGGGCAGATGGAAAAGCCCTGAGGGGGCGTGCTGGGAGGTCAGGGCAGTGGGGTGGAAGATGCTGGGATTTCCTACCCTGTGCCCCTCGCTGACTTCACTTAACAGAGGCTCCTTACACCTGCTCTCAGTGAGGCCGGGAGCTAGGGACAGCAGAGCTACGAGGACGATGAAGTGGTGCCTGTCCCGGAAGCTCACGGTCTGGGTGGGGACACAATGCATACGTGAATCACAGCACCTAGCTGTTGCTTTGTGAGCGTTTGTTGAATGAATGAATGAATGAATGAATTGTAACTATAGAGAATAAGCGCGCCCAGAATGATAAACTGCTGCGGCAGAGAGTGAAAGTGGAGGAAACCAGAAAACGTGTGCTGGAGGAGTAGCTTTTGAGCTGAATCTTGAAACGTTTTAGACGTGGAGAGAAAGGCGAGAGACACGCCCAGTGGAGGGAACAGTGCGTGCAAAGGCGCGGGGCCAGGAGTCAGGGCTCGGAGCAGGCCAGGGGCAGCGGGAGAGCTCTGCTCCCCAGAGGCCCACCCCACAGGCACTGTGTCAGCTGGTAGACGGGGACAGACTGAGCCAGGAGCTGCTCCAGCGGCCCAGGCAGGAGGGAAGGCCTGAGCTGGGATAAACGAGGACCCCTGGAGGAGAGAGGAGGGTGGTGGAGGGGAATCTGCCTGGGAGGGGGTGAGGTCGCGTGCCCAAGCGACTGATAGGTGGGGTGTCAGGAGTGGGCTGGGGGGCAAAGGCAGTGTTTGTGTTAGATCGACTGAGCTGGAACTGACCCGACGTCCAAGTGGAGATGCCCCGCAGGCAGTGAGGCCTCTGCTGGGTTTGTGCTCTTTTCCTTCCAAAGGAAAGCTGTTTATAATCCTGGGGAAACCTGGGGTGTTCCCATGTCACAGCTGCTGGGTGACCTGTGTCACCCGAGCTGCAGTCTTTGTGTGGCCCCAGCAGGTGCTGTGCCTCAGGCAGGATGTGTTGACTGAAGTTTGCACCTCCCCTGGGAGACAGCCATTCCAGGTCGGGGCTGGAGAGAAGTGATGACAAAAGAGAAACCGGCCCTGCCCCTGCGCGTTACTGACTGAGGATGGGGACCTCAGTCCTTCCCAGCATCTCCTTTGCTCCTCCTTGCCCAGGGCCCCGCCGTGACACCCTCCTCCAACAGGTTTAACTTGAGCTTGCTCCGTTTCCCCCCAGGAATGTGGCGTAACTCCAGAAAGTGAGAACCTTACCCTGTCGTCGTCAGGAGCTGTTGGCCAGTCGTCTTGCACTGAGACGCCTCTCTCTTCCACAATTTCCTCCCCGGAAGGTACCCACCCAAAGGAGCAGGGAGCAGCTGCATGCTCTCCCCCTCAGCCCGGCCCACAGCGCTCCTGGTCGTTCCTCCAGGAACGCACTTGGGGGCAGCAAGTCAATCCTGAGCTGTGTGACTACAGGGGCCCCAGCTCGAGATGGAGGGGGGCTTGCTCTCCTACGACGAGTTGTGGGGGGGCATCACTTATCTTAACCCAGTCCTGCCCTCGTAAGGTTTTCCTTTAACGTTGTGACAGGGAAGAGCGAATCCCCAGTCCCTGAGGGTGAGTTCTGAGCTCTACAATGTAAAGGGGCGGGAGCGTGGAAAACCTTAAATGTGAAACCTTTGTAGGTGGGGGCCAGGTAAGACCCTGACACAGGGAGGGAAATCTCCTCATTCAGCTCACAGAAACCATGCCTGACCTCCCGTCTCCTTCCTTCGACTCCTGTCTCCAAAGACCCCGCCAGCAGCAGCCTGGCCCAGTCGGTCATGTCCATGGTGTCCTCCCAGAGCCAGCACTCCCAGATCAGCACCGACACGGTCTCCTCCATGTCCGGCTCCTACATCGCCCCCGGCACTGAAGAGGAGGGCGAGGCTCTCCCTTCCCCCCAGGCCGCCAGCGAGGCCCCTTCAGAAGAAGGAGAGGTAAGGGAGGAGCCGGCTGGTCCTTGCCGCTCTGTGCTGTGCACACGTGTCCCCACGGTGCTTGGCAGGAGCTCCACGGAAAACCAGGTGCCCGGTATCGAAGCAGAGACTCTGCAGATCTGACTCTTCTGTTGGGGGCCACTTCTGTCCTGGGGACTGCCAGGCGAGCTGGTCGGGGAGCCAGGGGGTTTGCACTTTCATTTTTGTTGCTTTTTTGCAGATGATGCCGGCAGCGTCTCCAGACAGCAACTCCGTCAGCCTCGCTGAAGGGCAGGATGCAGAGGTAACACCGACGCGGACAGCAGCGCTCCCTCCCAGTCAGAGGGACTGTTGGCACTGGCTGGGGAGGCCAACAGGATGGGGGCTGTCCTGGAAGAAGCCTTCCAAGATGGCGCACTTGGACCAGCTAGAGGTGGGGTGTGGTGTCGAGGGAAGAGCAGCCGCACGCCATGGTCGGTGACTGTCTGATGAGCAGAGGCGCTGGTCTCAGCGTAACAGGCGTGAGTGAGTTCCAGAGGGAACTCTCCCCGGCAGACCCTAGACCCTGAGAACGTGTTTGTCCTTCCTTCACTTAGCGAATATTCACACAGGTGGACAGTGTCGCAGGCGCTTCCTGGCACTGGGGAACATAAAGACCCGAGTGACCTTGTTTCTGCCTGCCCCCCACCCACTGCACCCATTCGGAACCCCGTCCAAGGGGGCAGGCAGGATTACGATTCAGCGTGAGAAGTGCCCTGACCGAGGTGTGCAGGAGGTCCGTGAAACACCCAGCTTGCAGTGAGGGTCTGGAAGTTTTTCTTGAGCCAGATGCTCTCAAAGGAGTATCTGGATAGGTTTTGGGATCCCAATGGATTTCTGAAAGTTTTATGATCTCACTGTTTGCTCTTTCATTTGACAACTCTTATTTCCACCTTAGAGAAACGTTATGAGCTAGACTATTACCAAGGCCAGTCCTGACATTTCTAGCGACATCTGTAACATGCCTCAGACCTGGGCCCTTCAGGCCGATCCGGCCACTAAACAAAATCCACCTCCGCTTGGCCTCCTCAGTACCTCAAACCCAGACTGGAAATGTATGATATTGATGTAGGCCCCGGAGTTAGATACCGTTAGGATGGCTAATTCTGCCTTCAGCTGATCAATACACATATTTTACTGCTTTTAGACTCATAGCACCTTCCTTCTGTCCTAGGGAAATGATGTTATAGAGGAAGAGGATGGATCACCCACGCAAGAAGATGGTAAAAGACCTGGTCTTTTGCTCCCTCTTACTATATTTCTTTCCTGGGAGTCTTTAAAGGGTACTGAAAGGGGCACTGGTCTGACTTGGTGGCACGACTCGGTTGTGTGGCTGTTGAGAAAGGTTGTCTTCTTGATGAAATATCAAAGCAAGCAGGGTGTCCGAGGACCGCAGTGGCCTTCCCAGCTCTCTCTGGGCCTCCGAGCCAGGAATGTGAGGATGACGGTGCTGCAGGAGATACACGCAGTTCTGCATTTACATTCAAAAGATTCTGAAGCTTCTCGGGCAACTCCCATCGCCTTCCTGCCTGTGTCAGCTTTTCAGCTGAGTCCCACAGAGCTGTACTAGCCCCGAAGTTTAGCAACAGCAGCAAAGCAGTTGCCCCCACTTGGGAGAAAGGACTATTGGGCAGTTGGTTTGGTTTTGCTTTAGGGAAGAAAGTGGCTGAGGTTACAATAACAGGGATCCTGGGAGCCAGAGGCACAGTCGTCAAGAGACGTTAGCAACTTAGTGCAAACAAGTGCATTGTAGGCCATCACAGTGATTTTCTTTGCCGTAATTCAGGCCGCAATTCTATCGCCAGTTGGAAGAATCTTGTTTCTAGTACTGCTGGAAGAGAAGGGATGACCTGTGGACTGAGGAAGTAGAAAGAAGGGGGGTAGGGAAATCCCCCCGAGAAGGGACTAGTGCATATCCCGGGAACCAGGGTCTTCCCTCTGCGGCTCTGAGGTGCCCCCACAGACAGGCACCTCCAGCACAGACTTGGACCCTGCCTGGATGCAGACGTCATCCTAGTTGCTTCTGCTTTAGCGCTGGCCGTTGCTTGGGGAGTTCAGGGAGCGTGCATGCGACTTGAGCACTCTTGCCTGGCCAAGTAGCCCTGAAGGAGGGGACGGCCGCACTCTTGCCCGCCAGCCTGAGATGGGCTGGGCCCTTCATCAACTCAGTTGATGTCTTCAATGCTCAAGGCTCCTGACTTGCCCTCTGTGATTGCTCCCCCAAGCAACGTTTGCTTCTGAAAAGGGCCGGGTGGCAAGCGGTTTCCGCCTGCACCTCTGTAGCCCACATGGTGGATTTATGTTTTCTTCTCTCCTTTTCACCAAGAAGAAAAAGTGGGGGAGCTTGGAAAAATAACTGCTAAAACTTTCCTTCCTCTCTTACATGTCTGTAGGTTTCTGGTCAGTTCCTTAAAACATACTCAAAATAACAAATTCAGTCTCATAAGCAAATAAATCATAATTTTGCGAATGTGGTGATTCCAATTTGATATGCACCATTATAGAACCTAAGACCTTTAATCGCTGTTTTATGTATCTATCATTTTGCAGAGCCCTGTGGTCATAAATGCACCCCACACGCACAGGCAGACAAGGCAGGGGCAGGGGTCACTTTGCCAGTGGCTCCCTAGCTCTTCCTGGCCACGCTCCCCATCAGCCTTGCCTCCGGCATCGCTCTGCTCTGGGTCGGGTTCTCCGCGGAGCGGTATCCCGCAGCCCGCCCCAGGGGTCTGACTTACTAGTAAGGAACAATGGCTGGAAAGGGGCCAATTAGGGAAACAGCAGGATAGCAGGAGAACACAAACATGCCCTCACAATTTGATTCCTTTATTGTCCACTCTTTACCCACTTAATTACTGTCTTTTTCTTTTTTACATATGATTTGATTTTTTTGTCTCCATCCTTAAGATTTTGATTTTAAGGACAGCAAAGCAGAGAAGCCAGCCCCTCTCTAACTGCATTAACTCCGTTACAGGCCAGAGGACATGCGCATTTCTAGGTATGGAGTGTGACAATAACAATGACTTTGACATCGCAAGCGTGAAAGCACTGGACAATAAGCTGTGCTCTGAGGTCTGCTTACCCGGTGAGTGGCAGTCTGCTGAACATGAACTTGGTGGGAGACGCTCCCCTGCTCGCACCCCTGCTCTCACCCTGGGACACCCGCCTCCTGCCCTTCAGTTCCTACAAGAAGGCGCGGGCTGTGCTATGATGCTGGAAACCAGTTGCTGAAAGGAAGTGAGGCGGCCTCAGGAGAGCCCTTGAGCTTTGTGCAAAGAGCAACCCCTGCTCTCAGTGAGAATGTTGGGACAGGAAGAAAGGAGCAAAGATTCCTCTCCTGACTGGGCCTGACCGAGCGCCCTCCATCACGATCGAGCAGATCCCATGGCAGGTGGCCTGGTCTTGTTAGCATCAACAGGAAGTTTGAGGCAGACGGCACCTCTCTACAGAGGTCTTGGAAAGACAGCCTGGCCCTTGAAAAGGGAATCCATAGCCCCTCGGAGGAAAGTGCTGACTTAGAAGCAGAGAGGAATCTGAAGGCCAACACTGTATACACTAGCGAATGGCTCTGGGACCCGTGAGCTTTTGGGTACCAGCTGCATGAACTTACTAGATTTGGGTCCCAAAGGAGAGGTCAGGGGTTGAGGGTGTCTGTGCTCCCTGGAGCCCTAGCTTTAAATTTGATCTGGGCTCTCACTGCGCCCCTTATGCCTTCTCATCACACTGACCTCAATCTGGGATGCTTTCTTACAAAGGAACCACGTTAGTCACACTCGGAGCACTGGCCTCTCTTACTCTAATGCTCCTTCAGGGGCTCCAGGAACCGCTTCTCTCAAGCTGAGTCTTGAGGTAGATTAGGTCAAAACCGCCCCTCCTGGTTTCGCGGCAGAGAGAGTCCTTCGCATTGTGTTGTTTTAATCTCTTAAACATCCCCTGAAACGAAGACATGTTTCACCTTCAGAACAGCCACATCACACCACGGGTCCAGTGCTTACCCGCTCGGCGAAGTGGCGAGAGCGTTGGAGCAACACAGCCTCCTGCAGTGTCGCTCTCAGTCAGCCTGTGAGAGACAAGGGTCCTCACGCCCTGGCCCCACACAGGCTGTGGCAGGGGAAGCCATAATTCTCAGGAGATGCTCCTGCAGCCTTCCCAAGGGCTGTCCAGTCCTTTTCCATTTGGCGTTGACCGAGTCCGGTCTGGACCGGAGCTGTGGGGTCGAGGGTACACTTCACTTCCTGCCTTCCTACTCCTCATCTCGCTTCTGTCTGTCCATTTGTTTTCCACGTCTTTTTGCCAAACGTAAATCTGTCCGTGTGGTTTGTTTCTTTTAAAACTCATTTATGTTCTCTAGACTTGGTATAGAAATTCATGTTCACTCTGTGCCAACACTGTCCTCCCCAGCTGTGCCGTGCCCGACACCAAGCTTGCAGGGCGTGCACACATCCCAGAGGCCCCTGCTGAGGTTTCCAGTCCTAATTGGCAGGGGCCTGTATTCAGAATCCTAAGATTTTCTGAGAAAAGATATTTGTGAGAATATATTAATTCCTGTTCCAGAAAAATGGGGATGCTTCTGTGGCAAGTGTTATGGGAAGGATGTGTTTTGAATTGGTGTCCTTGCGCACTAGTTGGGGAAGATGCCCTCTCTGCCCTGGTCTGTGGCAGCTACACCGGCCGTCCTGTCACTGGGCTTCAGGAGAGAAATCTAGGTTCCTGCCTCCCTCACGCACCCCCATTTTTTGGCAGAGAGAGCTGCTGGGAATTGCTCTAGTTCACCATCCTGGTGGAAATTCAGCTTATTCCTTCTGCTTCCTCCTCTTCCTAACTCCCTCCGGTCAACCTGCTTGTTGACATTTATTCCATTTACGGGATCTCAGGAGGGGAGTGAGATCTGGAAGGAAGAAAGAACCCCGGAGGTCCCTTATGGTCATCTCAGGAGCCAGCCGTTCTGAGATTAGACTGGGTTCACGGTTCAGTCCAGACATGAAACCAGATGCCTGTGACAGCTGTCGGCAAAGGGACTCAGGTATAAGCACTTGAGGTGCCCCATTGTGTCTCACCGGCTCCTTCGGGAGAGGCAAAGCGCATCTGTTCTCTTGGTAAAAGGTCTCTCTGGTTCTGCTGTTAGCACCACCCTGGTAGTAAAGCGCTGGGGAACTCTCTGGAACTATCTGTTGGGTTCAGGACAGGAGTATCCACTTTGGTAGGTCCCGTGGAATAAATAGGCCTCTTCATGCTCAGCTGTAAGTTCAAACTTCCATCCTACAACTGAGATACCCGCGGGCTGGCTTGGCTCCTCATGTCCCTGCTCCATCAAGACAGCTTCTCAGGCCCTTGGTCTCTGCTTGAGTCTTTTTCCCTCTACAAGCAGTTGCCACTCCCTTCTCAGAGGGCTGAGGAGAGGCGGAGCCCAGGGGAGCATCCCATGCTCTCCTTGTGCACGTGCTACCCTCCCCATGCTCATGCGTGCGCTGCCCGGAGACCCAGTGGTGGTGAGGACCCCGCAGATCCCTGTCCTCACCACTCTCATCACCCTTGTGGGAGTGATGCTAAGAGGGCGCCTGTGCCATTCTAGCCCCTCTTCCCCTAAAAAGCTTCTGGGTCTTCTTGGGCCCCAAGACCAAGGAGGGTGGTGTATTCTGAGATTGTTCTGAAAGGTTCTCAAAGGGAGGAAATCTAAGTTGACAGGTTTAGGTGGTGAGCAGATTAGAATTGCCAGGCCATAAGTAGATGTGGTTCCAAGGAATTTGATGGAATATCACACAGGCAGCAGGATAGTGGTCAGGGGTCCACTGATAATTCTGTGAAAAAGCTCTGGGTAGTGTATATGATGGAAGAAAGCAAAGATGATTTAGGTTTGTTAGTGGAAATACAAATATATTTTTAAATGACTACCTTGTGCAGGAGTGGGCATATCCAATAAAATCTGAAAATACTGATGAGACCTGAAATTCAACTCACTCTCTTCAAGCCTCATAACCCAAGACTAAGACGCTACTAGGAAAGTTTGCGCTTCATGAACACTCAGGAAAAACCTGAATTCAGTTTCTCTTTCCCCTGGAGAGAAACTCCACGACTGAGCTATTATAGCCCTTAAATTTAAGTGGTAAAGGCAGGTAGAAGCAGGAAAGGGGTGTGTGTAATTTCCCTAAATGTGCTCCCAAAACCTACCTCTAGGGGTCTCTTCATGCTCCCATTTCTGATTGGCCAAAATGGGAATTGAATGGAAAGCACCTTTCTCTCTCTCCGGAGGAGGACTTGAAATCTGCAAGCTCCATTTTCTGGCTGAAGAGCCGGACAAAATGGTAGCACTCGCTCAGGAAGTCCTCCCTGGCCTTCCCGGCTTACTTTCTGCACCAGGCCCACCCTCTGCACACGGTGGGCCGACAGCAGCCGCAGGGTTTTGCTGGGGGCCGGGTAGGGTCCTTTTCAAGGGAAAGGGCCTCTCGTAACCACTGTGAAAGCACAGAGGGTATCAAGAAGCCAGGGAGGACAGAGACTTCAGATCGGAGGCTCGAGTCTGTCCCAGAGGAACCACTTTGGGGCCCTGGCCAGGGATTCTGGATTGGTGGAGTTTGTGGCAAGGCCTGGGGTGAACTCGGGACCGCGCGTGGTCCCGCGGGTCCAGGCGTGCTGGCGGCGGCGGCGACAGTCACTTTGCGCATGCGTGTGTGGCGGTGGTATTTTGAGCGTGTGCGTCTTCTCTCTTGTTCACCATTTGCTTTTGGTCTTTCCTACTGAACAGCCGCAGTTCCGGAGTCCTGCCCCATAAACATTGATGAATAGGTATGAGATCTACCAAATTATATACATGAACCAACAACTCGTTTTATTTTGGGGTTCCTGAGTGAAAAGGCAGTCTTGCCTCATGTTCATCCTGTCACACTTAGAGTGCCACCTTTAGGCGGGGCAAAGGCACTGTCGCCCCGCGTCCCAGACTTTGGCACCCGGGGATGCAGATTCCCACACTCCATTTGGGTGTGAGATACCTGAGACCTTCCTGTTCCACTTGCTTCTCTTCCCTGGGGTCCACCTCCACAGGCTATTATGAGGGCCTTGCGATGGATTATCACACCAGGACATCTATGGGAAATAAGCAGGTTAGACCAGCTTAATCCTAGTGTTGCTGCCATTAAAGGGTTTCGTGTCTTAGGCTGGCCTCCCCTGAGGCTCACCCGGACATTCGTGATGGCCTCCCTCAAGCGTGAAGGCAGTGAGTCAGGCCCCGCTCCACACTTGGTCGGCCCTGTCCACTGAATGAGTTCTCTGATGGGAGGGGCACCGTGCTTGGCTCTGCCCGGACAGAAGGAGCTTATGGTCTAATGGAGGAGTTCGAGGATTTAGCAGTTTCCAGCAGTGTGAGAGGTGAGGCGGTAGCACAGGCCACCAGGGGAGCACTTCAGAGCACGCTGAACCTCAGCTGGCTGGAGAGCCTTGTGAGGGCGGAGTGCTGGCAGATGTGGCTCAGGACGTGCACAGGCCAGAGGATGGAAGGCCTTCCGTAACCTGAGAGTGAGGGCTCCATCCTGAGCGTGCGTGCAGCTGAGGCCCTGCTTTCCACTCACAAGGAGGCTCTCACTGCCCTGGGTGGGGCCAATCTAGGCTGGGAGGACAATCTGGGGGAGAGATGAGGCTGGCCTGAACAAAGCCGGGGGGCTGGTTGTTGAGCACATTCTCGAGTCAGATGCCCTGTTCTGCACACACTCCTGTTACCTAGTTTGGTCCTCACAGCAATCCTGTGAGGTAAGTACTCGTCTCCCATTTGATGGATGGGAAAACCAAGGCTCCCAGTAAAGTGGCCTGCCCAGGATCACACAGTCAGTAAGTTAGAAACAGGGAGTGAAGCCCAGGTTTTCTGACTACAGATTTGGACATAACTAGGAAGTGAACCAACAGGAGGTGGTGACGAATTGGATACAGAGCACCAAGGAGAGAGCAGAGCCAAGAATGGGTTTCTGGCATGAGCAGCTGGTGCTCCTCGTGCGGGAGCGGCAGCACATTTGGGGAGGATGATGAGTTTAGTTGGTGATTGTGGGACCCCCGGGCTCTTCGGCTAGTGTCTCCTGAGGTTGATGGCACCAGGCGATAGCAAACGTCAGCAGGCTGCTCAGGTGCAGAAAGAGATGAGGAGCAGCAGATGCGGGGGAGGGGTGCTGGAGCGATCACACTGTCCTCCCCAGATGCCATTCTGGCCCTGGCACCACTGCCCATCCTGGCTGCCGCAGCAAACTGACACTCTGGGCCCAAATGAACTCACTCTTCTCACCCCTCCACTTCTTCCTGCCCTGATGAAAATCCCAGCTAGACCCAATTGTCCACCAAAACATACAGGCAAACTTCAAAACCAAATAAAGATACAAAAGTGGATTATAGGGTAAGTTTACAAAACAAGGAGCATCCTGCAGGTCCCTCTCTGTCAGTGGGCCACAGTGGCCATGGCTGTACATAGCCCAGTGGGGCAGGAGCAGCCCCTGCGCCTGCCGCCGCCCACTTCCCCCGAGCCTCTTTCTCACGTGCTGTGGCTTGCACACACATGGGAGTTTCAGGTAACTCGCATCCTGCTGGCTTCTGTACCGACCTCCTGGGCTTCCCTGCTGGAGATGTCATCTGGACCTGGCCAAAGGTCCTATAACCCTCCTTTTCTCTCCTCCAGGTTCCTGGCAGGCCGATAACAACGTCAGTCGTCGGAACACGCAGCACCGGCGCTTGTCATCCGGCAGCCTGGAAGACCCCGAGAGCAGGCCCTGTGTGTGGGGCCCTTTGGCCATCTGAGAGCCCAGCCCCTGTACCAGGACTCCTCTCCGTCCTCGCCTTCCGTCCTGGCCTCCCAGGACCACTGGCCTCCTGGGCATCCTCAGCAAGACACAGGGAGACTTTTTATATCCACGTGAAAGCTGGATGTTGAGGTCACTTGCTCCTTCTCCCAGCCTCGTCTCCTTCTATACCCCTGCTCCTTCCCCTCCCAGAAGGGACTGGAAGCCTCCTTGCTCCTTGTGGGCTAAAGTCACTTGAACTGCGGCTCTTGAGACCCTTTGCTGAGACCCTCTGGAATATTTCCACCGTATCTTGGTCTTCAGGTGGAGCCATGGTCCACAGGCTGGTTGTTTCTTGTGTGTCTTTTTGCTCCTTTAGAAGGTAGACCAAGAAGATTTGGAGTTTTGACAGCTTCGTTGCAAACACCCATCTGGCATTTTCACGTCTCTGGGGCATCGTGACCAATTTGAAACGTCTGACTTGGGGTGGGGTTGGGGGATGACTTCTGTGAGAAGGGAAAGCCATATTTCACTCTAAGTGGAATTTCCCTCAAAAAGCATTAGGAGCTCCTTTCTCAAGGACGAGAAACAGCGGCAACAAAGATTGGTTGAAAAAACAGTTCTTGCTTCTGCTAGCGGACTTAGTCTCCTCTGCCTCATGTGTCTGTCTGCTTAGGAAGGAGACCTCGGACCTGACAATTCCCCAGCTAAAGGGCTGCCCTTGGGAGGGTTATTTATGATCAGGTGCGTTCGTGAAGGCCTGGGACTCCATCCTAAGGTGACATTTCAAAAAACCTTTTTTTACCAAATGTCTGTGCCGGGCACTGTGGTGGGAGCTGTCAGGTCTTATCACATTTTGTCACTACAGCCCTGTCAGGTGGCATTCTTATCCCTATTGTCCCCCTCTCTACCCCTTTTTGTTAATAGTTGGAGAAGTAGACTGAGAGAGGGGTGGACCAGTGATCCTCAAATTGGCACCCCGGAGCCCCCAAGGAAGTGGCGGAGAGCGCTGAGCTGGGGCCAGCAGCGGTCTGGGAGCCTCCCCACCCCATGTTTTCCTCTGCCGCCTTCCAGATCTGCTGAGCCCCATGGGGGCGGGGGAGGGATTGCCTTTCCATAGGCTCATTAAAGATTCAGTGACACTGTTGTTCAAATTGTGCCCACCCCACCCCACCTCAGTCCAGAGTGAGGCATATGAACAAAAGCTTGAAACGGCAAGCCTAGACCGGAAGCTGTTGGGAGTTACTCCCCTCTCAACACTAGTGTTATCCTTGGAGTCCGCATCGCTCTCGGACAGATGCTTCGTCTACTGGCTTGTGGAAAAGGTGGTTGTGTAGTGGAGCGTGAGATGGGGAAGCAAATACAGTACGACGATTTGTGAGGCTGAGATGTGGCAGAGCTGCAGGCTGTGCCCTTCATGATGGCCTGTCTTGGCGTTCGGAATGGTCACTCTACAAGAGCTTCTCAGGGCCGTTTCCGAGGCTTCAAAGAGAGCCCAGTGCCCAGGGGGTCCTTTGCACCTTCTGTGTGGCTGCTTTGCCCCGCCAGGCAGGTGGTGACGCTCACACTGCCTAGTGGTTGTGGCTCACATCCTGCCCTGGGTGGGGGTAGGAGAGGAGGGCTGCTGTCCTGACAGATGCAGCATGAACAAAGCCGGAATTTAAGCTTCTGACTTGAGTTTCCGTGTCCACCCTCTATGAAATCCTACAGTGGACTCTGCTGTTTCAGGCCCCACTTAATGTCCTTTGTTTGCCCTACATTCTTACATATTTAAGATTTGAGCAATAACCCCACTTCCTGATTTCCTTGAAGTTTGAGCCCCAGAACCACCAGGGGCTGGAGCTTCCCTTAGCCTGGGGTGGTGGCACACAGACCTCCGTCCTCTCCTAGCGGGTAGTAGTCACAGTGTGGTGTTACCTGAGATGAAGGAGATGCAGGTAAACAGTAGCCACAGTGGCCAGGAACCCTAAGAGGAAGCTGTTATCTTCACCCCTTCTGGAGGGTCTGTGTCCTCTCCCAGGAAGGAGCTCAGAAAGAGTCCTTAAGACCTTGGTTCCATAACCAAGACATACCTGGGTTAGAAATGGTCCTTCACTCCTTGTTTCTCAGACAGTTCCTTCTCTCTCTCTCTCTCTCTCCCCCCACCCCCCACCTCTGTATTCATTTAGCTCTTTGGTGAGCAGAGACATCCCATCATCCCATCCAAAGGTGCTGGTCCTCAGTCAGCCTGATCAGGGAACAGGGCAGCTGCCTACCCTACCACCCGAGCCCATCACCTGGAGACAGTCATTGTGTCTAAGCAGTTGACCCAGAGAGAATGCCATGGGGCCTGGCTTCTCACACGAGGGCACAGACCAACTGGAGGCCTGTAGCTCCTTCCTGCCACACTCAGGTCTGAGCTCTCCAATGGCCTCCTGGTGGTGTGGTGATCCTGGCTGCCTCGTAAAGCCTTTTTTCCTTCCCCTGCCGGGTTCCATCCCACCAGAGTTCATGCCCACTCTGGGGCATCTCCTGGGCGCAGACCCACACTCTTTAAGCCGTCTCACCTGGGGAGAGGTAGTGTCCTGACCACCTGATCTTGGCATGTTGGTTGCTCACTTTGCTTTAGGATCTGCACACCTGGTGTGTGCAAGTGTGTATGCTTAACTGTTGTGCCATCTGTGTACCACTGTCACTCCCTGGAGTACACTCATGGGCACACTACAGTGGGGACATCAAGGATGCAATATTTATGGATTGCTGCATGATTCTTAAAAATGAATAAAACTGTTTACAAGGGAAGGAGAGCTGTTAACTGCATAGGTGGCTTCTTTGTGAAATTTCTAACTTTCTCCAGCACTCTAATATTTTTACTCAAGAGAATCTGGAGGTGGAGGAGTGGGAGAGGGCAAGGGGTCAGGGAAGACATGCTCCGGGGCGGGAACTGCTGGGCCATCCCCTGGGTACCGGCTTCCCACCCCCAGCCCTCCGGCTCAAGCACAGAGGCCTGACTGTGGAGCCCTCAGCCCCACCCTCACCCTTAAACCGGAGAACTTCCAACACTGCAGCTCCTCAAGAATTGAAGAGCAGGAAAGCTGGTGGCCGGAGGGAGGCCAGGGGAAGGGAGGAGGAAGGGCCACAGTCCCAGCTGTCTGTCCAGCCTTAGTCCCTGTCACTTAAAGGTTGGTGAAATTAATGAGGCAAATGGCCCCTCTAGGAGAATTTGCCAAGTCCATGGCTTTTCTCGGTTTTACTCACGGGCTCTGCTACCTCAGCTATCTGGAAAGGAGGGAGAGCACTTCCGCAGAAGCCTCTGGAATGTCAGCTTCCGGGAACCTTGCTGAGGTCAGGAGCGGGGAGGAAGCCGCTTACCGGGAAACACTGGATTACCCTACCCGCCTTGCTGTGGCTGCTTCAGGGCAGCCGTTTCTGCGGATCTCAGCGGCAGGTGGCATCGGAGAGTCAGACCTGCCTGCGGGCATCAGAGAGGACACTCAGGGTCGGGAGAGAGGGACAAGTCGCAGAAACGTGAGGAAGTGCCACTTGCAGCCCAGAGGAGAGGAAGGAAACCCCCAAGAATCAGGTTCCCGAGCCTGCGCCCGCTCCCAGCCTTGGCCCCCGCGCTCTGGGCTGCGTCCCAGGAGCCGCCAGCACCTCGGAGCAGCCCGGACCGGAAGGGGGCGGAGGCGAGAGTGCGGTTCCCGGGCGAACGGCTCGTCGCGTGCCCGGGGCCTCGGGCCGCGCGCCTCTCCGAGTCCTGCGCGGGGCCCTCGCGCGGGAATGCGCGGAGCCGGGACGCGGTGGCGGGTAGGGGGCCGGGTGGCGCGGGAGAGGGCGGCAGAAGGAGGGAGTTCGAAGAGAGTTACCGCCAGAGAGAGTGGCAAGAGCCCGCGGTCTCCTTGGAGACGGGCTGACCAATGGCAGCAGCGGAAGCTGTTTATGGGGGCGGAGCGTCGCCATAGCAGCAGGAGAAGCCTTTGGAGCGGCTACTTAATGCCGGTCCTGGGGCCGCTGTCGCTCAGAGAGGCGCCGTCGGGAGGGGGGGTGACGAGGGGCGCTAGCGGGGCCCTCGAGCTGAAGGCAGAGAGCCGTGGGGGGTGGGAGAAACTTCTTCCAGAACCTTCCTTTGGCCCAGGCTGCGCTCTGAGCCAGGTAAGGGACGGGAAGGGCTGGGGGCCGAGAGAAGGGAGATCGTCAGTACCAGCCCGCTCTCCCATCTGTCCCTGACGGAAGTGGTGGGCTGGGGGACTGACATCTGAGGAGTTTGGGGGACACTCACTTCCCGCCCTCCGTAACTCTCTGTCCTGTTCCCTTTCCTTGCCTGTGATCCCCCATCTTAACATCCCTTTTCAGAGATCAGACGGCCTCCCCCGCCCCCTGCCCCGTCGTACTGCCCTCCCGGGCTCCCTCGCCCCATTTCCACTTGTTGCGGGAAGGGGGGGGGGGTGTCTGATTTCTCGCTCTTAGGGAGAAGGGGATAGCCTTTGACGCCCCTACCTCTTCCCTCAATCGGCTAATAAAGTCTCCTCTAAAATCTCGAAGAGGAAAAGAAGAGGGAGGCAGATCTTGTAGGGGTCGAACCCCCGGGCATTGCTTCTGTTTCCCAGACCTTGGCCCTAAAAGATCCTCTCCAGCTGCGGGGACGACTTTAGAGGAGGCTCCTCCCTCGCACACACTCTCCCCTCGCGAGTGGGGAAAGAGTGTTCAGCCCCCCCGCTGCGGTCCCCGCAGGCACCACATTCATATTCGGAGGAGGCGACCCCCGGGTCGCGGGATGGAAGCGCGCGTCCGAGAGGCTGTGTAACTGGAGCCGCGGGAGTCAGCGGGCCGGAGAGCGCGGCGGGCCACCCTCGGCTCAGTTCGTGGATGTTGACCGCCCCCTCGGAGAGTCCCCGCAGACATGGCGGAGAGCTGGCTACGCCTCTCGGGAGCAGGGGTGGTGGAGGAGGCCGGGTCTGAGGGCAGCCTGGAGGAGCCCGATGCCCTGGATGACAGCCTGACCAGCCTGCAGTGGCTGCAGGAATTCTCCATTCTCAACGCCAAGGCCCCCGCCCTGCCCCCGGGGGGCACCGACCCCCACGGCTACCACCAGGTGCCAGGCTCGGCGGCGCCGGGTTCCCCCCTGGCGGCGGACCCCGCCTGCCTGGGGCAGCCGCACACGCCCGGCAAGCCCACGTCGTCGTGCACGTCGCGGAGCTCGCCCCCAGGGCTGCAGGCCCCGCCCCCCGACGACGTGGACTATGCCACCAACCCGCACGTGAAGCCGCCCTACTCTTATGCCACGCTCATCTGCATGGCCATGCAGGCCAGCAAGGCCACCAAGATCACCCTGTCAGCCATCTACAAGTGGATCACGGACAACTTCTGCTACTTCCGCCACGCTGATCCCACCTGGCAGGTAGGGGAGGCGCAGGAGGCCGCCGCTCCCTCTCTGTGCCCTCCCTCTGTTCCCACTCCCGCACGGACTGGACTCATGTCCCAGATCCGCAGGCCAAGTAGGCGCGGTGCAGCTAGGGCCCTGAGGGAGGAAGGCCATCGAGGAAGGACCTCGAGGGAGCCCAGTGCTTGGAGCTGCCCCCTCTTTGACTTCAGAGAAGGAGCGGGAGGATGTTCAGAGGGTTTTAGGGGTGCCGATGCTGGGGTTCAAAGGGAAAGCACTTGTCACTCATCCAGCAGGGCCAGCCCAAAGACCAGGGCCAGACTGTGCGTGGACACAGTCCCTAGGAGAGGGTGATGGACTGAGGGACACATTTTTGTCCCAAGTCCTAGAATTCCTAGACGCTGCCCTGACCAAGGACAGTTTGCAAGGGCTGACTCAGAAGCGGAAGCTGGAGCATGCCCCCTGCCAGGCTCTGCATCCTGCCTTAGTCCAGTTGGCTGCGGGGGGAGGGGGGGGGAGGGGGAGTGCTGTGGGGTGGGAAGGCCAGCTGTGTCCTATTGGAGGGGCTATGGGGCCTTCCTAAAGCTGCTGTCCCAGCCCCCAGCTCCAACCCCTCCCCAGTTTCCTCCCTCCACTCCTACCCCTCTTCTCAGTCAACATCCCTGGGGAGACAATTACCTGAGCCAGGTGCTTTCCACAGGGGCTCTGCCTCCCGCACTGGCTTCATGTTCCAAGTCTCTGGAACCTGGCACAGAGCAGCCAAGGGGCCCAGGCCGGCATGTAAACATCCCAGCCTTGCCAGGGGGCACTACCCACCCACCTGCCCTGCTGTCCAGGCCCAAGACCCCTGTCCCCTAGTATGATTTGGACAAGATTACCCACCTAGAAATGAAAAAGCCAGGATGGCAATTTGAGGCTGGGCAGACATTGCCCTGAGAGTCTTCAACCATCAAGATCAGGGGCTAGTTGAGGGCAGAGGCCCTGAGGATGCTCAGACTCTTCCCTGGGGCACCCACAGGGGGCAGGCTGCAGGAACACAGTCCCAAGCTCTTCCACATTTGCTTGGGCCTTTGCAGCCTCAGTGAAAAAGCAGAGACACACCCCCACACACACAGACTCTACCCCAAGCCTGCAAAGCTCAGGCTGCGGGAAATAGGCCCCAGGAATGAGCGCTATGCTCTTGGCTAGGTAATAATCAACTGAGGCTTCACAGCCTGGGGTGGGTGGAGGGGGCTGCAGGGGGGGGGGGGGGGGGGGTGAGGGCCCAGGCCAGCAGCCGGCTCAACAAACAAGGAAAGTCATCAGATCCCCCCACACTTCATCCCTACGTACACTCACTCACACACACCCTCACACCCTCTGTTGGTTGCCCAGCCCCCCCTCGACCTACTCACTCACTTCACAAACAGAGAGGGCCAGCCAGGCCCAGGCGGAGGGAGATGGCCGTCCAGGCCCTGGGGGAGCTGAGGCCTTTGGCCAGAGGCCGCAAGCGGCAGGGTAAGGGAGGGAGGGCAGGACGGGGTGGCACTGAGAGCCACCCTGCGGCTCAGCGCTCGGATGACTGAGCAGGCAGATATCCCAGCAACAGGGAACAAAAGCCCCCGACAGCACTCCTGGCTCCCCGTGCCCTGTGGCTGGTGTCCCAGAGCCGCCTGGTCAGAGCAGCACCTCTGTCCCCCATCTCCCATTGGAGAGAAGTTGGTGGGGGGACGTGCAGGAGCACTAGGAGCCACCCATCATGACCCCCCCACCCCACCCCCCAACCCCGCCGTCCTCCTTCTCTTCTCTCTCTCTGTGCCCAGAATTCCATCCGCCACAACCTGTCCCTGAACAAGTGCTTCATCAAAGTGCCCCGGGAGAAGGACGAGCCCGGCAAGGGGGGCTTCTGGCGCATCGATCCCCAGTACGCCGAGCGGCTGCTGAGCGGGGCCTTCAAGAAGCGGCGGCTGCCGCCAGTCCACATCCACCCAGCCTTCGCCCGCCAGGCCGTGCAGGAGCCCAGCAGCACCCCGTGGCCCGGGCCCCTGACCGTGAACACGGAGGCCCAGCAGCTGCTGCGGGAGTTCGAGGAGGCCACCGGGGAGGCAGGCTGGGGTACAGGCGAGGGCAGGCTGGGGCATAAGCGCAAACAGCCGCTGCCCAAGCGGGTGGCCAAGGTCCCGCGGCCCCCCAGCACCCTGCTGCTGACCCAGGAGGAGCAGGGCGAGCTGGAACCCCTCAAAGGCAACTTTGACTGGGAGGCCATCTTCGACGCTGGCACTCTGGGTGGGGAGCTGGGCACGCTGGAGGCCCTAGAGCTGAGCCCGCCACTGAGCCCCGCCTCGCACGGGGACGTGGACCTCACTGTCCACGGCCGACACATCGACTGCCCCACTACCTGGGGGCCTCCAGTGGATCAGGCTGCCGACAGCCTAGACTTTGACGAGACCTTCCTGGCCACGTCCTTCCTGCAGCACCCCTGGGACGAGAGTGGCAGTGGCTGCCTGCCCCCGGAGCCCCTGTTTGAGGCCGGGGATGCCACCCTGGCTGCTGACCTGCAAGACTGGGCCAGCGTGGGTGCCTTCTTGTAAGAGGCCAGGCCCCGCCCCACCTCTGGACAGTGCCCGAGTCAGGGCCCAGACTGCCCCTCAACACAGGCCCATGGACACCCTACCACCCACGCAGGGGCTGGGCCAGGTCTCCCAAGGCTGGCCCCGTGAGGCCACATGGCCCCCAGCCTGGGCTGCCCTCAGATTCTAGCCCCGGAGGCTGAGAACTGAGGCCCAGGACCAGAATTGCTGCCTCCCCTCCCCCGCCCCCCCATACACACAGTGTTTCATTGACCCTCATCTTCCCTGCCCCAGGGACTGCTTAAGGGCCCTGCACTGTGAGAGCTGTGGCCTGGAGGGGCCCTGGCCAAGCTGGAGAGCAATAGTACAGGGCCCGCCCCAGAGCACCTTGGCCTCAATGTTTCTCCCTTTCCCAGCTTTCCTCCCCAGGTCTCTATCCAGAGAAAGTTCCCAGGTACAGCAAATGCTAATTAGATGACAGCAAATTAACCCCCTGGAGGCCTCTCCCAGCAAAGCCTCCCTGGGGCTGGGGCAGGCAGGAGATGGGGCGGAGCTGGGGGGAGGGGCAGAGAGAGGAGACAGAAAAGAGGTGGGGTACCTGGTGGGCAAGATTTTCTAAGGCTTCTGGGGTCTTCTCCTGGCTCTATCCCTGGAGGTGGGACAGAGGGTGTAAATCCCCAATCTCTTAGCCAACTTGAGGCTGAGAGCAGCGAGGAGTTGGGCTTCTGGGGGGCTGGGGGCAGGGTCCGCTAAGCTGCAGAGGGGAGTGGGACAGACAGACTAATGTAGTGAGTGTAGTTATAGCTAGGTCTTAACAGGGAGGGGCACCGAGCTTGCTGGAACCACTGGGACCAGCTGGGGGGATCGCCCTGCGCCCCTGCCTGTACTTGTTGGGGGACAGTGTCGTGCTCCACCCTGAGCCCCCTGGGCTGCGTCCCACATCCACCCTCCTGCCCCATGGGGCAATTTAACCTTTTTCATGGAAAGTTATTTGCAATAAAAATTTTAAAAAATAAAGTTTTTAAAAATCTGAAAATGGACCTACTTGCAAGTTTCTTTGGGAAAAGGCATGGGCCAGTTTTGGACCAGGGGCTGGCTTCCCTTCACTGCCCAAGAGGGGAACGGCTGAGAGTAACATGGGGGGCACTAAAGGGCTGCAGAGGCCCTGATGAACTCCTCACGACCTCTGTGTCTCCAGGGAGAAAGGGGCCGGGAGGCAGCCTTTGGGGGTCTCCTGCTACCTGGGTCTCAGCACCTCCATCTGTGCAATGGGGTGACCCTCACCCACAGCCCCCAGGGAGTGGGAAGCAAAGGAGGCACAGCGCCCGCCCTGCCCTGAGCACTCACGATGGCCAAGCACGCCCAGGGCTCCGCTCACGTCACGTCCCCCACCGTGAGGGCCTGCCCGGGCTCGCCCGCCACAGTCTGCAGTCCCTGGCCTGGGCCTGTCTCCAGAACCTCCCTCCCTCAGTCCTCTCCTGGAGGCACAGGGTGTGAGGTCAGGGCCCCAGTCCCAGAGCCCCACTTCCCACCCTGGCATGTGTTCACCCAGCCCAGCGCCCTCCACCAATGCAGGCTTGAGGAGGCGGAAGGCCACCAGGGGAGTTGGGGTGCCCAGACCTTACTTCCCTGCTCACGCACACCGGCAGGTGCTTTCTGTGAAGCATCAGCTTACCAGAGTTCTGCTGGAGAAACTGAGGCACAGGAAATTTGTGTTTGGGTGACACTCAACATCACCTTTCAGTTCTCTCCCCCTGAGGGTGGCCTGGAACCCACCTCTCCACCCAGCCCCCACCCAGGTGGCTCTTTCAA